GTTGCCCCTGGGTGGACGACGCGAGTGTACTTAGGGCTAGTGCACTTTCGCTGTGTTCATGTCAGCAAGTTGACTGTGCTTCTGCGTTGGAGCAAGAGTCAAGGCAGTGTGATTGATCTGCGCGTTTGCTTTGTCTCCTCTTTTGCTGCCTGCCCGTGTGCAATGGCGAACTCTGATTGGAAAAATGAGTTGGAGAGCGCGCAGCTGCCCAAAGAAGTGGTATCTGCTATACTGGACCAGGGTTATGTGACTAAGGTGGCCTTTACCATGGCGTTTAAAGATGATGACAGTTTTGAGACCTTCATTGAACGTTTGCTGACCAAAAAGAAAATCTTGAGTGATTTGGACGATGACTGGGCTTGTCATCCAGTTGCTGGCATGCTGAGGGGCTTGTGGCATGAGCCGGCTGTTGCGGTGGCAACACCCAATACTGGGAGTGCTGTGGGCTTGCCAGATGTGACTTCTTTGCCAGCGCTCTTGGGTATCACCGGTACAAAGCTAGAGGTGGCAACCATCCAAGAGTTGTGGAAGCGATTTTCCCACCGGAATCTTTGGATGAGCATAGCCGGCCTTGCCGGCAGTTGATTCAACAAGTGTGCAATCAGAAGAAGGAAGGCGATTTGCGCTTCATAATTACCTTGGAAGTTTATTTTGAGCGAAGCTCAGTGGGATGGTTCCAAGAAGACTTGTGAGAAGAAGGAACAGTCCTTTCTGGGCTTTCTTGCAGAAGCAGCGGGTCATCAGGACATCCATGAGGGCTTTGTGAGCCCGTCCCCATTCGGGGTACAGCGGATCTTGTCTTTACGCGGCATTTGCTGGTCATTGGTGGGATGGTGCCATCTTGGCACAGCTAATGCTCTCATGCGGAAGTTTGTGGCCTTATATTCTCAACATGTGCCTAAAGAACTTTTTTGCGTCCGCCCTCCTTAGCAGAAGCAGAGGCAGCGGACATGGAGCTGTGCAGACGCTTGGGAGAAAAGCTACAGCAGGGATGGTCTTTGGATCAAGCGCTGCAAGATTGTGTGGAAGGTTCTGCTTGGCTGAATTCCTTGTTGCAGTTGCGACCGCGTATGCCTGTCCCCTCATCGGACTATGCTAAGAAGCACAAGAGCATGGATGCTCCTTCTGCTAGCGCCAGCAAAGGAAAGGGCAAAGGCAAGCGATTGCGCTCTACTGGTTCCTGCTTTCAGTTTCAATCTGGCAAGTGTTCGCGTGGTGCAGAGTGCCGCTTCAAGCATACATGCGATCAGTGTGGTAAAGAGTCATGGTCGCTCCCAATGCCCGGAAGTGACTGAGGGCTAGGGACAGCTCCTCGCCCCTATGGGGAGTAGTAGGGGTGAGGACCCAGCGCTTAGCAGCGTAGAAGCTCCGGCTACAGTTGTTAGAGGGCCTCAAGTGGCCATGTCAGCGTGCAAGCTCTCCGCTCATCGGCAGATTGGTCTGTGCCACATGCTGATCATGATTGGCTTGGTGCAGTAAGGAAGCACCTTATTTCGTTACAAATCCAATATGGATCTCTTTACCTCACTAGAGATTGGCGCTTTGCGCTTAGTATTGCAAGAGTTCTTGGTGGATTTGGGCTTTCCTTGCCATCTGCGTATCAGGGAGCATCAACTCTTTGTGTTGGACGTTTGGCGCGCTTTGAGTCTGGCTACGCAGGATCCAGATTGGCAATTGCCGGATATCACGCACAATGGGGTTCCCACAGGGATTGTTGCGCCCATAGCGCCCTCGGGTATTTGGGACAGTGCTGATGACGTTGACGGGAGCGAGGATCATTTAGAATTGATGGTTCACAAACATCCTTGGGCTAGCGCTTCAGCGGATGTGGCCTTGACTTGGTCTTTGATCCAAGAAGACCTGGACGCAGGATTTGCATACATCCTCCCTGGAGGTGAAGCAGAAGCAAGGGCTCGTTGGGGCGACTTGGCTGCAGGCAAACTAGGCGTCGTTCAGGCCCCCGGAAAGAAGGCGCGCCTCATTGGCGACAGGTCAGTGAGCAATGCGAATGCCCGTTGTTGCATCAGCGAGAAGGTGCGCCTGCCGGGTTTGCGAAGCATCCAACAGTTTCTCTCTCGGCCTGAAGCCGCAGGAGAGGCTTGGGTTGCATTCTCCTTTGATGTTGCTGCCGCTCACAAGCGTATCACAATCACAGATGCGGAGCAAGGGATGACTTGTTTTGTGCTGGAGATTTGCTATCGCTCATGCTACTTTGGTGCAAAGTATAGTGCATACTGGTGGTCGCGCGCCAGCGCATGGATTGTGAGGACTTTACACAAATTTCTGTTCGCGCGTCACGCACTGTTCAATTATGTAGATGATGGGCTTGTGTTGCTACCTTCATCAGTTGCGCCCTTGCTAGCAACGTGTGTGACCATGCTTCTGGTGACCTTGGGCATCCCATTAAGTTGGCGGAAGCTTGAGCTTGGTGCTGAGATAGTCTGGGTGGGTTGGAAATTTTGCTTCAAAAAGGCTGGATTCGTGTCCCTGCCAGCGGAAAAAGCCCAAAAGATTGTGGCATTGCTCCGCCCACTGTGTCGCTTGAAAGCGGAAGTGTGCAAGATTGAGCTGGAACGGTTGATTGGCCTTTTGGTGTGGTTTACACATTGTGCAGTCTGGCTAAGACCTTGCCTCAGTGAGTTTTGCCGCTTGCTTTACAAACCGCAAGCGGTAACACGGTTGTTGGCCTTGGAGCATTTTGAAGTACTTGTGGCAGCATTGAGTGATGGCTTGCGTGTCAAAGCTGATATTCCCTCTTGCGACATTTGCAAAGGGTGGAAGTTGCACTCCATTGCCGGTGGGGTTGTCACATCTTTATCTTCGCCTGCCTTGTCCACTCCCCGAATCCGAAAAGATCGGGTTTCTGTAGTGCTCTTCAATGGAGACTGCTTTTCCACCAGGACAACAGCCAGCTCGGTGCATGTGGCCGAATTGCTGATCAGACCTATTGAAGATCATGCTCCAATCCCCTTGCAGATATCCCCCTACAATACTGGGTTGAGTGCAGCGGATGCTTTTGCAACTGACTCAGCAGCTGGGATTGGCGGATGGTGGCTGCCCACACATTGTCGAATGGAAGCATCTAATGTCAAATGGTTCAGAGTGGACTTAGATCGCTGCAGTTTGCCTGGGTGGTTCAAAGCGAGCAATGGCCCATCTTTGCAGAAGTGTATCGCAGCATTGGAAGCTCTTGCCCAATTGGTGCTCCTTTTGTTTCAAGTGCAGCAAGCAGATGTGGTGGCCAAGCATGTTGTTCTTCAGTTTTCGCAACTGTGTGATAATGTGGGGTGACAGCGGCTTCGGCCAAGATGCTTTCACAGAGCGAACCGTTGTGTTGGGCGCTGCAGTGTTTAGGGTCTCTTTGAGCTTGAGTCACATCGCTGGGATACGCAATACATGGGCTGATAGTCTCAGTCGTGGCGACATGCCATCTGGATTCTTGCTGCAAAACAGAATCCTGTTGGTTGATGATTTGTCAGTTGCTGCCATTTTGCACCAGCCCTGGCATTAGCTTGCATGCGACCACCTTCGGTTGGGGATCAGAAAGGATTGTGGTCTTTGCAATGTTGGCGCACCCTTCGGTTGGGCTGTATGGGCCATGCCACCCTGGAGGTGCCATGGGCTGTGCGCCTTCCATTGCAAAAGAGTGCTTGCAGTTGCAGCTTCTGTGGTGGGCTTTTCAATATATGTGCCATGCTACTAATTGAGGGTTTGCTCGCAACGGAAAGGTGAAGAAGTCAGCCTGAACAGTTTTGTACACGCCAGGAACAGACCCGTGAGCCCCCTGCGAAACTGTACAAGTGTGTGAGAGCTCCGCAGCAGTAGTTGACACACACACAACCACATATTTTCTTGCATATTCTCAAACATGTAGCAGGTGTCTTGAAAACCTGTGGAGAGGGGGCTGCCAGAAAATCAGCGAAGTACAGTATTATGTTGAGATCGTGTTTTGGCAATTGTTTGAATTGAGCATGCAAATGTTTATCCAAGACATCTCATGTTTACAAGGGTTGTAGATGACTACAGCCCCCTTAGGGTGAAGCACACCAAGAGCTGTGGGGTGCCGCATAGACCACTTTCTGTAGATTCAGGCGACCCCGCAACCCCGAAATTCGTGCATCCTGTTATGATTCCTCAACCGTTCACAATGCATTTGGCAGCTCAGTTCTTCTCCCAGTCGCCTTCTTGAGATGGATCCAGTGACCGTGGGGGTCCCCCTTTCAATCGCCCAAAGGTCACGTTGCCCCTTTGCCGGCTTCAATAACATTCCACCATCGCAAAGGTTTGCTTGGAGTAGATTCATGTTTCGTTTGGAAGGAGTGACTCCTAGTGCGATCAATTGTAACATTTTTGGGGAATTCCTTCATGGCATTTCATGACTATAGTTGCTGTATTTTTTTTGGAGTCCGGCATGTGGATCTTTCTGTTGCGGTGTTTGTGAGGTGGATGGCGAAGATATGGAGTGGAGATGATGGCTGATGGCATTTGGAATGGAACACTTGGTCAGGAGACCCAACACATGGTATGTTTTGGATTCGGTGCTTCAGTTAATCATTGTTGTTTTCTGGTGCTGTTCGTCCAGGTCACGATAGAATAGAATTCCACGTTGTCCCATTTTGTGAACCAGACATGTTTGGTGACTAAGGGGGTTGGCTTCTGGACCGCTGCAAGCTACGTTGTGCACAGAGCCCTTCTTGCGGGCACACTACGATGCCATATGTGAAATTCTTCCCCACCCTGTCCAAAACCAAAACACCTCAGTGATACGAAAGAGGTTGGGGCTCCTGGACCGCCTGCCTGAATTCGATCGAAAAGCATCGAAAAACATGGTGCACGCCTCAGGTGCCCTCACCGAAGAAAGACTTTAAGGTCTGTCCATGCCACGGGCCGCCTCCTGTGGTAGAGCACTTAGAGAACGTATTGGTTGGAGGGGCAGATTTCCTAGGACAGTGGGCGGGTTTGGTGTCTCAAAATTCAAGCAGGTCCAGTGGCCATCATGGGTCGGACTCCGTCAGCATCCGGGATTTCAAGAGAATCAGGCCCAAACGAATCATCGTCGGCATGATGATCATCGTCAGGATCCGACCTCGGAAATCCAAGCGAAACCACGTCCATTCGAGACCAGGATGGTCACCTTCCAAAACAGTAGGCTTTGGACCATCGGAGTCGGAGGTTTCAATTGCGTAAGGTTTGCCATCATCCAGCCAGCAATCGCTCGCCGCTTACCAGAAACTGTTGACCGGACCATACATGACCATACGGCGTTTTGTTACTTTGCATGAGGTCACGTGCAGACTGGTCCTTGCACACAGCTGAAGAGAACTGAACATCGAGTGGCCACAGGCGATCTTGAGCAGTGGCTTTGGAACCGGAAGACTTGTAAGTGGGTTCATTAGATCTACAATGGCGGGAGTGATTTGACGGAAATGCCCGAAATGCCTTCAATGAAGTGTTGTTCAAAGCTATGAGCCATGCTTGTCCCACCTGCATGTGGCCCACTCTTTCAGAGCTCTTTGCCATGGTCTGCGGCTACAAAGACCTTCCAGGCCGTTAGACATCGATGTAATTCAATGGCACGCCTGATTGGATCGAACTCCAAAGCTGCACGTGCAGTGC